CTTCATTATTTGATTTCTCGCTACTGGGTTTCTCTAACTACGCTTTTCAACTACGTAGAGAGTTTAATGTATCGACAAGAGAAATTTATTGACCGTCAATTCTGTCGCAATTCTCTCTCAATTCGTTATTATACGATACGTAAAAAAGAGTTTCACGTTTCTTCAATAATTCCGTATTATAAAAAATGCAAACGTAGATGCTGTGTCAACTTTATTAATAATTCTTCCGTTTTATAAAAATAATTACAGGTAATTACCAACGTATTTAATAAATTAATCCATGCATGAATTGTTCAAGAATCTAGAGCACAAAATTGACGATATAAATTTTTCTCTACTATACTTAACATACGCGGCAGCATATTCAAATTTTAATATCAGGCTAATTAAATTATTTTTTTGAAACATTTTCAAAGCTTCCTCATTTAAAAAAATTCATTAAGTCGGCTGCTATAATAAATTTAATTGCATTAATTGCAACGATTTAATTATTATTTCTAGAAACTCTTCGCAGAAAATCTTCAATGATATTTTTATGCGAAACAGACAAATGCCTATCATCGTTTTCATGATATTTGACGAGATAAAATACTTTTTTTATACAGCCTAATATATCCTGCAATGTTACCGCGCACATGTACGTAAAATAATGAATGTTATTAGTTTATAAGTGATTTGCAAAGATTTTTTGTGGAATTCAATTTTATCAAATTTTTACTTTATTTTAAGAATGGGAACTGAAGACTATTCAGTGTGTGAAAATTTTCGCGAAAATGTAGCATGGGAAAGAGCGAAATATAATATCAAAGATAATTAAACCCATCAATTTGTTTCTACATGGAAAGTATCTTATTAAAGAACAATTGTTATAATGATAACGATCCGCGATTATATCGTTACGTTGTTAAACTTATCACCAAAATATCCTTTATAATACCGGCATCGCGGCCAGAAAACCGAAATAATCGGTATTATTAGACACGAATTTCGTAAACATCGAGTCTCTATTCATTAGTCTCTTCTCATTGCTTAATATTTTAAATTGGAATCCTCCGAAAATTAAATATCTATAATTTATATCTATCTATTTAAAGATGTTGGTTTATTTTTGTAATTAATCCACGGCAGTTAAATTACGATTATCACGGCTAATTAATTTTTGATTTTCATAATACGCGAGATATGTTGCGTTATTACCTCCATATCCATCACGTCAAGCAATGTTGTTTGATTATTAACGGATAATTGTGTTGCTGCATTAATATTGCAGCTGCCAGATGAAATCTAGGCGCGGAATGGCAACAGTGTTCGAATCGATAATATCTGCTGATTGATAGAAGCTTGACAGATGCTGCAGAAGCCAATGTTACCAAACTTTCGATTATACTACATCGTGGTAGCGACAATTGATCTATGCCAAAGTCAATGAAAGCTCTATATATATATATTTTATTTGTCTACGTACGTATTAGTCAGATATCAAAATAGCCCATTGCCAAAATAATGTATATATAATTTCGATATGGACATGCGCGTTCTACAAAAGCAAAATACATTAGCGTATCCGGAAAAAAAAAATCGCGCGTTTTTATTACGTTACCGAATTAAATCGTGCACCCTCGAAATATCGTCGTGAACAGGAAGATTATTGGAGAAGGAAAATCGAACGATTTTAACAATCCGAACTGCGGAAGACACGTTAACGATAATAAATTTGGAATCCTTAAAACGCTTTTATTAGAAATCACGGAAATTTGAAATAACAGAATTTATCAATACGCATGTTTTTGATATATAACAACTGCAAAAAAAAATTGGATCTCTAAAACGCTTCGATGTATTAAAATCGCGTTATCCGAAACTGCTCTCGCACAAAAGCAACATTAGAAAAAAAGGAGAGAAAAAAAAAGTACGAGTACATATCTGTTCGGTATGTCAAACATGTCGAAATGATTGCACTCGACTTTAAACAATGTGCAAAAAAAGTTTTCGACGTCGATAAAAGTGACGGAACGTTCGCCGACCACGAAATTCAGTTCCAGATTCGTTTTTCCCTCACGACGATTACTCACCGTCACGAATTAGATCACATTGTTCCAAAGGGAGATCAGATCGATGCGTCTAAAGTTACCCCGACGTCTCTTTTTCGCGCGCGCAGCCAGAATAGAAATTATTATAGATTCTCGTTTTTCACTCTCTCGAAGACACGCAGATTATGCAAGATTATGCGGATTAATGGCCGGCGATGTCGGACGTTGGCGTGGTTTCGACTAATTACTCTGTCTTGACCCTCGTTCGTAATTCTATCCGGCGTGACGTCAAACCCGACCCGGGCAAACCCTTTTGTTCACGCGGAACAAACCGTTCGCTACGAATCGCGTAATCGCACAAACCGAGCAAAACAGCCCGTCAAGCCAGTTCGCGGGCATCAAGTTAATTTAATAGTCAATAAAGTTTACCCGTTAGTGACTTGCTGTTCATTTGGAATACAATGATGCGTGCTATAACGAAATGCAGCCTAGGTCAAATGTAAATGCAGTTATTTAATAAACAGAATTTTCGCATTCCGGAAAATACGTTTTTAAATTATTTATAATTAACTATGGGAAAACATAACTTCAACAAATTTTAATTAATTAATTTATCTAAAAGCCATAAGAGATCATTTAAATTAAATGGTTGTGTGTAATCGAATTCTAAGTACTGAAAAAAATTTATAAAGGCAATTTTTGCCTTACAAAACTCGTAATTAAATTTATTTAATCAACGTGTCAACTATCGAAGCGTTTCAAAAAAATCCGATTTTTTACTGTACTATATAACATATAAAAATGTGTACCACAATATAAGTGATTAAATTTCAGCATTTATAAACTTTTATAATTTTTTAAATATTTTATATATCAAAACAATAAAAAAAATAACAAATTAAAATTAAAAATATGAAGTCAATCAATGACATCAATCAATTCGTTTCAATGATACCTATATTACATTATCGTTAATGTCTTTTCAAAATTAGTTAATAAATTAATTGTACGTAGTTAATTTTCATAATTTTGACATTCGTAATTTAAATTAAGGTTGTTTTCCATATTAAAACTAAGAAAGTTCATTTAACACTAAGTGAGAAACTTTTTTGTAGAATTTTGTAATTTATCTATATTATAAAAGATTAATTCGCTAACATTTTAATTCATAGTCGGCTCCTGCGAAAATAATTATTAATGACTAAACATTGAAACAACTGCCATTTCCATTATTTGGACAATAATCAAAATTCAATTGGACAATAATTTTGAACAATAATCAATATAAATATTACGATCTTCAATAAATTGCAGAGTTACACTTTCATATAAAATTTTATACTAAGTGATATATTTGAACAATTTTATTACAAAAATTGCAAAATTTTTAAACTATATACATATTAAAATTATATTGTTAATAACATTTTTTTTGCTTTTCAGCTATATATACATCTTTTATGCATTCAATGTTTGTCTCAAAATTAATTTGAATAAAGTTGATAAAATTAATTTTCATTTTGCGAGCAAACTCTCCAATTTTATCCGTTTAATTCTATTTCTTTATCTCTATCTTATTAATATTTACAACATAAATATAAAGTAAAATTACAAAGCAAAATATTAAAAAAATTCTGTTACCAAATTAATCTCTCCTACACTAGACTATATTCACGTGTGACTTGCAATAATTCTCCTAATTATCACTACAACTTTGTTTTCTTCGTTATTTTTGCTGTCTTAACACGATGGTGTAATTCAACATTTTAGAATTGTTTTTCCTCGTTAATAGGACTTTAAGTCAGTTGCCTTTCGTCTAAAATTACGCGTTAAAATTCGGGGCGAGGAATGGAATTTAAAAGACGCATTTCCCGGTCATTCGCATATCGAGGCGCAATGCGTACGGTTGAATACCGTTACACGAATATACTCTCGTGAGTGAACCAGAATTCAAGATATGCTGATAACGGAAACGCCATTATATTTGCGCCTTTACGTTCCCGGCCGTATATCGGCATTATTCGAATTTTGCCTTGCCGGCGACTAGGCGCGATCGTGCATGATACCCGAGGATTTGTCGCACTATGCATAATGGCGATTGCATCGCGTCCGTCCCATGTGTATAATGAAGTGTCAATATTGTGCGAGACACGGAATTTCGCGAGAACGAAAATGTCAGGCATTTGACGCCGGCATGATTCGATCCCGTTGTTGTAAAGAAGCTTATGTCGCGTCTTCGCCACGTTCGCATTTCCCGCGAAAATAGATTAGATTTTTGACGAAATATCTCTCTCAGGACTTGGACGGCTACTTTTCTGTATTTATATCGCAGGATCAACCTGCATTTTTTTCGATATACATTTTTCTTAATTATTATATCGCAAATTTATTGCATAATATTGAATTGCGAATATGAAAATCTGTAAGGGGATTAGGGAGGAATATTAATATCAACCCCTTTCTCGGCTGACTACTTGAGGCAGGTATTGGAAAAACCCATAATATATAATCGATCCTGAGTGATTATGACTGATCTCTCTAGAATAACCCATAATATAAAATCTAAAAATAAGACTAATATAAAAGAAAATTAATTAATTATTGTCATCTGATCTAACGATCAAGTGCGAGTTCGTCAGGGGTAAACCGATAAATTCTATAATAAAATTAATAAATCTTAACTTCCAGACGGATTCAATGTAGTATTTAGAAATTTTCAACCACCGTGAGGTGACAATTTTATATTTCGACAGTCCGCGCGCAATTTTCTCTCCTTTTTCGGATTGTCAAGCGTCACGCCTCGGTGGATCTTACGACATTTCCTTTTAGCAGCGGGAGAAAATTTCTAAATTCCATCAAGCGTGTTTATGTAAGGGGGGGGGGGATTTCCTCCGGCTTCTGCGGTCTGAGTCGCGCTGCGGGTCGCCCGCCGCGCCGATCCCGCGGAAACGCGGTATACCTATGCGTTACCTGAGAGCACGCGTGCTGCGTCGGATGCTGCGTGTACGTGGCGTTCGCGGCCGCGCACACGCCGGTGCCGGGAACCTTCAGCTGCTCCTTATAGTCGGGCTGGTACGGCAGCAGCATGCGTATCTTGCCCCAGCGATTGAAGAACAGGGCTATCGCGCCCGCCCAGACTATCAGCACTAATATCACTATGCCCACCTCGACGCCGCGGATCTGTGGAAACAAAAACAGTTTCGTCCTCTCGAGTATTCGATTCGCGAATCGAGATATAAAAGCGATCGTGATTGACGTAGGAGGCCTAAGTACGACTCTTAATCACGGCGATAAAAATCGAAGAACGAGAAACTGAAACTGATAAGATAACAATTGCAATGAGATTTTTAAAATTTCTTAAAAAAATATACATTTTTTTAGAAAATTTTTAATTCATTTGTCAAGCTTTTTAATTTTTATGGATTATAAGTAAAGCTTTAATAAATTTAAAAGGTACATCGTTATTTTTACGCCATTAAGGAAATTAGAAGAAATCGTAAAAGAAACCTTAGGATCATCATCATGTTCTTTTGTTCTCCCTTTCCCTATACGCGCTGATGATTCTCTCACTTGAAATCAAGTGAATACATACTTTAAAATATAAAAGTTACGGTAATTATGATGTAATCTTTTTAAAAGTTTTTTTATTTGTGCGCACGATTGGATTTATCCCTACAGGCAAGAGTATCAGTGTTTTTAGTCCCCATCAGTGGATATTAAGAGAGGTCTTTTTTGCATAAAGAGGGACGCGGGACCCTTTCTAGTCTCGATTAAATTTCGACCAAATTTCGTGGTCGTATTATAGAGCCTTTCTTTTTCCTGCTCTGCTTTTATTCTCTCCGTGGAATAATCTCATATTCCTTCGCACGATAAATTTCCTGCCTTCCATTCATTTACGAATGGCACTCGCTGATTTTACAAAAGAATACGTTTGGAATAGTCGATGTAAAATGTCAATTCGTGCACGTCAGAGGCAATATAAAATGTACGTAGAAATTCATATTCTACGTTTAAAATTTATACAAAAAAAGTTTTAAATCATGTCGACCATGACGTAAAATTTATTCCACAAGAAATGGCAGGTATATAACATGTCCTTCCAGTCAATACCTCCGTTGATGCGGACAGTAACATCCGCGTTGCGAATATCGGACTTTTTTTCAATGGCTTTATTCGCGAAGATATACCTTTCCATGCAAGTTTTGTATTATAGATGTTGTGTACAGCGAACATGCGAAGATCACAAAGAGAAGCTCAGAGACAGCGAGCATTAGTAAAAATGCACTTTTAGATTCAGTCTTTGCAATGTACTTTGAAAAAAGAATTTATCAGAATATATCAGATATCGATACGAAAATACATTTCACATTAAGCAAGAAGAATACTCCGATATATCGTCTCAGCATAATAAATTTTAAATTAATAAATACGTATATCTCCAGATGTGTTACATTTTAATTTATAATATTATCTGTACTTTAAATTAAAGTCAGTTACTATCTCTTTGTATTTTTATTGTAGGAAAAGAAAGGTTTTGTAAATTTCAAATTCTAAATATATCTTTCAATAAAATTTAACGTGACAGGAGAGCGATGTGTTAAATCTATTATCCAGTGATTCTGTTTGCCTTCTTACTATCTACTGGAATAGATAAATTTTGATTCAGTGAATAAAAATACGCGATGGAAAAATCGTCCGAGTCCAAATCCTCGCGCTGCTTTAAAATGACACGGAAAAGTCGATGTTGGAGAGTGTACTCGAGAAATACGGCGAAATACGGCGAAAGAGAGGCCAGCTGTGCATTGCCTTTTATTCAGTCAGTTTTTCTTCCGTTCATCCATTTTGATGTTTCCCCGCGCAACGCGGATATTGCATCCTAAGGCATGATAAATTGATTTTTCTTTCGTCGAACGTTTTATGCTATTCGAACGATATTTAAGAATATTTCCTTACTCGACGAGCTATAATCACATCTACACGTTCAAATTCACGATCAGATTAATTTTTCTCTTCTGTTCGATTACGATTGCAGACTGCGCACGTTTATTCAATGCTGAAACAAGCGGAAGCGATTTCCGATACGTCAGATAACGAAATCCCGCGAACGCGAAATTGTGCATCGTTTAGGAGAAAAGTAGCTTACTTGTATATACGGTTGAGGCTGCTGCGAGGATGGTGGAGGTGGAGGAAGAGGACCACCGGTTACCGCTGCATCCTGCTGCGGGGACGTGCGTGGTGGCTCTGGAAACGATACGAATCTCGTTTACCATGATACGCCAAATCGCATAAATCACTGGCCGTGAGATTTTATACGGTGCTCTGCGCGCGGAAAATAATATTGGTAATTTAATTCTTCGCAAGTTAACTTCCGCGCGCTACATATGATTGAAAAAGTGAGCGTTCAAAGAACTTAAGCAAACAGAAAACGATATTAATTTACACTTTTTGAAAGGCTAATTCATTACGATTCATTGAAATTTACATTTTCTACAGTACAGGTTTTATCTAATGTGTTTTTCCTCCCCCAAAAAAAGAACTTAAGCAAACAGAAAACGATATTAATTTACACTTTTTGAAAGGCTAATTCATTACGATTCATTGAAATTTACATTTTCTACAGTACAGGTTTTATCTAATGTGTTTTTCCTCCCCCAAAAAATAAAACTCGAATGAATCAATCGACATCCATTGCCAGATACATGTATATTTATATGTAACAATGTAGTAACAAAAAAATAGTTAAAAGATAAATATCTGTTTTTTTATACATGATAAATCATAAATCTGCAAGCTGTACTAAGCTAAAAGTTAAAATTGAGCACTTTTGACATATCGAATTATCAAACAATTAGAAGAAACTTGCAATAAATAATTTTATCTACGTTCATATTTTTAATTTAAATATTCAAAAACCTATTTAAATATTTATCTCACAAAAATATATCTCTAATTGAAGGTACATTTTAAAATAGATCTTTCATTTAATGAGGGAGGTAAAAAATATGTGGGAGGCAAATATTTCCGGGATAATATGTTGCAAAAATATGTGTGCAAACAAAACTATCACAAAACACGGTACTTGCTACTTTGCTACTTTGTGCGGGGATAAATCAATAAATCAATATAAATAAATATAAAGTAAATAAGAAAGATAACTACGAAGCGTCAACACTGGTGGATGCTAAATGGACAACTACGTAGGTTATTAGAAAACTATTTCCCTTTATCAGAACGCACCTGTCACGTGTGACCGTGATGCCGGAGACAGGTAAAGCTTAGGAAGGCAAAGCTTACCGAGTGTACGGAAGACGATCGGTCGGCTTCGAAACTTCTTTCCGGCCCTCACGGCGGTTACAACCAGCTGATATTGCGTGTCAGCCCGGAGGCCGCTCAAAGTGACCGCTTCGCTATTTCCTGCGACCACCGCCACCACCCTGTAACTAACCACCTTGCCGTTATGATTCCGTGTTTTACGTTTACAGCAGTTTTGCGCCCCTTCCGATTGCGAGTTCCGGCAGAAGAATTCCAAGCACGATTCGTTCCCTGACAGAATCCTCTAATTCCGTTATTATTCTAACGATTCTTACGCTAATGATAACTGAATTAATAAGTTAAATTTTTAAATAGATGTGATAACTTTTTATGTTTTTTTTTTTACAAAGCACATTTTTCATTCTTAAAATCAAATCAATTTAAAATTCCGTTTAGAAAATATTGTAAATCGTTCATTCAAGAATTGACAGATATTATTTTTATAACTACGTATTACATGACGAAGAGGCTTCACCTCAGCTAATTATTTCCTGATAGTATTTCTTATATATCAGAATGTCTAAGCGGTTTACTCTTCCGCTAATGCTATTATACATGATATTAAACACGAGTGCACATGTTCATTAATCATACCTGTTATAAATAATTGCCAATCCACACGTTAACAGTCTCTATAACTCGAGGAATATGTCCAATAATTATCGATAACAGCAATATTAATCTCCTGTCACGTTATCTAACATATCACTAATGACCATATATAGACATGATTAATAATGTCCGTTTCGTTTCCTCATTATTTAAGAAAAGTGAGCTTTTAAGCATTATATGCATTTTTCAAACAGAATAATGAATATTTTTATTAATTGCAATAAACGAGTTAATCGATTCGTCATATAATAATTAGATGTACGAAAATTGATTAACTTTGATAACATGATAATTGACGATCCTCAATGTAAGCCATCACAATCGGTATAATGCGGGACCATGGCGATAGTAAAAGAACTCATGTTAATAAAATGAATTACATAAAATGAAAAGAGAAAGAACGGATTTAGAATAGAAGGGATTTGCTCCATTCATTTTACATTTATAACAGCCACATCAATAGGAAGCGTAAAGATATTTTTTTACCTAGAAGCATTTTTTACCTAGAAGCGGGTAAATTAATTTTTAACGGATGATTTATAGTGGCAAAGGAAGTACATTACGTTTTTAATAAATTTTTTTTTGGACTATTCTTGGACAAAAAAATATGTCATTAAAAAGATTTGTTTCAAACAATGCATAAGAAAAGTAACTTTTTATCTTTAGTTTATTATACATTTAGATTAATTATTTTGAATTATTTTATTTATTTTAAATTAATTATTCTATAATTATCCCATCGACATGTTCTTTCAGCTTGAATGAATCCATAAACTTTTGTAAACAAGTTATCTTAAATAGAAAAATGAAGCATTCAGCTACGCGCGTATTAATTATGATTGTTTATACAAATCCAATATCTTTTAATTAATGACACATTAGTCGAAATATGATCAAAACAAATGGAAATATCGAATATATTTGGTGCGCATCGACATTCATTGAAGCGATTATTGTAATTTGAGCAGAAAATGGGCATTGAATTTCGATACGTTACTGTCAGCAACGTACAAATCGATCGATTTTGAGAAGCCTTAATAACGAGGCATGATGGAATCGTAATACAATAGCTTTGCACCACGATGGATACAAAATAGCAATTATTCTAGTGCACCGTTATTAACCTCTTCAAGCTATAAGCCACTAGAAATTATCGCTTTTGATAAGTCATACTTCACGAAACAGATAACATAATGGTTTATTAATCTATTTAAAAACAATTATGTTTTAAAACTTTAACACATCGTCTATTTATTAAAATAATAATGTAATATTTAAAAACTGTGAATAAAAAAATATGAAGATTAATTGACTTTTGCTTAATTTTTTAAGGATTAAATTCCGATTTGTAAGAATTGCGTGCTCGCAATTTTTACATAATAACTCCCGATGGAATATTAAGCTAGTTACTTTTTAGTTATTTTTCGCAGCTCGATCCTGACAGCATGTATTTTGCTTTTGTGGCTTATCTTTTCTGAATCTTCGATACCCGAGAATACAAACTATGTCCTTACAAAGATGGGAACGCTCCTCCTTCAGCAAGATCATTTTCTCATAGATTGTATCGAAGGTTATCAAAGTGCAACTTCGATTTATCATCGCCGTAGTTCGACAGATTCTATACACAGGACACTCGTGTCACGTTTCAAGTCACGACGATAATTGAATCGACGATATTAAATGTACCGTTAACAATCATAAAAGATCAAGATTATCAGACTAATTTCTTGAATATCGACATCAAAGTTCCGCTTTATAGCTTAATTATTATTAAGTGGAATTATTATTATTTATTTTAAGATTGCTCGCTTTCTCTTAAATTCTCGTAGCGCATATCTGCACTACATTTTATATGATGATAAAGAAAATATTTATTTTCCGAGGAATATTAAATTAAAGTATTTTCGAAATATTAATTATGCATTATTAATTTTTAAAATTATAATTTTATCATATTTATGACTATAAATAATGATTACGTTAGTATTTCACATACATATATTGCATATATTCTAATAAAAAAATTCAAAAATTCGTTAAAATTAAATTATGCAAAATTCTATTCCAAATAATGTTGCACTTTTTTAAGTATAATCTCTTGTTTTGAATGTATATTATATGAAACATTATTTTCCAAATGAAAATATGCTGTGAATATAAGTATTTTGTACACCCTCCACCCAAAATGGTTGTAAGATATAATGCTGCTGCAAATTATTAGAATTAATGTAAACTTCTAAAATCAGATAATAAAATAGAAACAGTTTGGTTGAACAAAAACAGAATTAAATCGAAAATTAGTTATAGCGCATGTTTCCTAGTAAAATTTTCCAACTGACCTATTTAATGTACCCCCTCTCGTGCATTTTCGTCGTTACGTAAAGCCATAATCTAACCTACGTAAGTGCATGTTGGATTTTACATAACAAGACCCCGTTAGTACTGGACCGTCATCATTATCATGGCAAAGATCGATGCTATGCATTTGCGCAAAGCACTCCTACCGCTTAAGTGCATTTAGATGAACGAACGCTCTGCAACAGGCCGTTTGTGACCTTCTCATGTTCGCATTTCAATAGCTCAGCACGCGCAGCGTTTGTCATCAAATATAGCTCTGCTCGCTCCGCTATCGATTTTACACCAATAAAAATATTTAGAAAATATTTTCTACATTTTCTGATTCATAGAAACTCTAAAAATGCAAATACATAATCGTAAATGTATGTTTTTATGCATACACACGTAATATTGTAATCCTCAACAATCCACCAGTTTTCAAGATTGCAAGTGATGAAAAAAACTTCGTTTCTGATTAATTGTTAGATAAATTTTAATTCAATAGAAGTTTTGTTTAAATAATTAAAATATCATCTTTTTATTGAACATTTAAGTCAAATAATTCAATAAATAAATAATAACATATTTCATTGTCGTTTTTATTCTAAAAATATATTTAGTTAAAAACAACTCTAAAATCTTTTAGTTCTAAAATAAGTGTAAATCAATACAATCACGTTCCAATAATGGAAGATAATAACGGCTCATTATTAATTTAATATTCTTTTATTTGCGATACGTACGAACTGAATTCGTCTTCTATTTCATATCATTCTATTTCATATCTATTTTATATTTTATATTTTAATGATACGGATTGCCATTCATAAATGCCGAATCCGATTACTGTTACTTTCATGCTTGAATGCAATATGTTTATTCCATCCCCCCCCATAATATTGTTTCCATTTCGTTAGTGTACACTCTACACAATTCATCATTAATAATGACTTTATAAATTTGAATAATATTGAGATAGAGTGAAAGAAAAAAATTAGTACTTAATACAGAAACGGTATAAATATCTATCGCTAATTAAACTTGACGTTTATTATTATTCTCTAAAAGTCGTTTATATTCTAACTTGGACTTGTTGTTTTATATTGTTTTAATAAATGATACAATATGAAAAGCGTAAAAGTAACTTAACGTAGTGAAGTAGCTAAGAGAAAATTTGGGATAAAGACTTGTTAATATATGCAAAGTGTCTGAATTCTAATGGGACACCGTTTGTAAGAAGAGCGAGCCAAACTGAGCAAAAAAGTTGCTATTTCACTATCAATTAATAATTCATATGTATTGTCATACATATAATTAATAATTTATATAAAAAATATATTAATAATTATATCAAAAAATATTCATATATATGTGTTACCGTGACTATATTTTCATTGTATTCGATATTACTTTCGTACTTATTACTTTGAAAAACGGATTGCAGGTAATTAAATTTCATAATTGTCATAAATATAGTTACCAGAACTATTTTGTTTCTTCTCAGTGCGGGCGCTTGCATTGACCGATGGGCTGGGCTTATTCCACGATCTTTAATCTAATCCAATTATTAATAATTCGTTATTAATTGCGAAAATCATAAAATAGTAGAAGACTTTTCTGCTCAGTTTGACCCACTTTACTTGTACACAAGGGGTGTACCTTTAGGAATCATTTTCTGTATATGTAACATATGTAACATGTATATGTAACATTGTTGTCAGTTGTATAGAAATTTATGCTAGACAGGTGCGGAATTAACCCCTTTCAGCATGCATGTCACGGTAAACTCAATTTCTCTGCTGTATACAATTCCTTCTAGTAAAGTTATGTTAGGAATATTTGCGTACAGATTACCAATAGAATTCTGTTTCTTAATAAAGTAAATAAACTTATCAATTAAGGTTCTTAAAAAATCTTTATAATATCAGATAGTTTTTTATAAGAATATCTTATAATCTGTGAACAAGCTTAGAGTTTTTTAATAATTCGAAATAAAATAATAATAATTGTAATGAATTATTTGGCTCACTCTGAAGAAAAGAATTCTAGATGTTAAGGCTAAATTTAAAAAATTCCGCATTATTTAATTTATTTATTTATTAATGACATTTGTATTTTTATGATATTCTTATTAGTTATTAGTTATTTTTAATCCTTTTCTTTTATTTCAAATCAAACTCACACAAAAACTATATTTCTGCTAGCACACTTTTATAAATTAAAATTATGCAAATTACTTTGCTATTACGTTAATTTGATACTGCTTCATTACACTTTAAGTTCTAGAAAAATTTTTTATATAAAATATTGGAATATTTTTCATATTTTATTGATATATTACTTAGCTTTGCCACTACGATGTTAAACATAAACTGGGAAAAGCTATACACAAGGGTTCAAACATTGAATGCGTGAGTAAAATCAATATATACCATCAATATATACCATTAAAAATGATACATTTGCACATGGAACGAGATTATCATGTAACAAAACATATTTAATATTTAATTATTAACTCGTGAGTATTCGCGCTATATGTTGTGCAAAAATAATTTTAAGTAAAACATTTATAGATATATAGATTATTCATGTCATAAATAATATCATTGATTTATATTTTCAATTCCTCAAAATTTTTAAATGCGCATTTAAATATTATTTGTCTTCTTTTGTTATTCATTATTTTAATTTTAATTAACAAAAGATTACAACGCAAAATAAAATAATATAATATATATATAATATATAATAAAAATAAAATAAATATATTGCATTTTTAATTTTTATATAAACAGGATACATCTTTTAAAATTTTATATAATATAATAAAAATTTTACACGATATGCAATATTTTATTATTTTTCAACTAGTTTAAATGATATATAATTTTGTGAAATTCACAAAATTTGATTTGTTACTACAATAAATTTTATCACTAATGAATTAAATTATGGACTGCAGAAAATTTCTGTCGTATAATTTTAAAATATAAAATATTAAATATAGGCCTTACAGATTGTCATTACCGTAAAATGTATGAGATCCATTTTAAAAATTAAAAGTTAATAACAAACTACAATCAATTCTATTGACCTAATTAAGATGCCATTATAAAATATTTCAAAGTTGATGATGTCGATACAAGTTGATGATGAATCATATATGTAAAATGCAGTATACTTGGCGAACACTCACGGGTTACACGAAAATCATTTCAAGAAAAGCGGGATATATCTGCCATCGTAATTCCTGCGCCGCAAAAGGAGGAGGTAAAAATCTCAATTAATATTGAGCTCTCTTTAAATGAACGTAAATATCGAATCGACATCGGTTGGTATAAATTCACTATCTACTATTTCGGTTTGCCGCTCCTATAAATCAGTCTGTAAACCTTCTATTCCAACGTGATTCATCTGCACGTTGCGGTGCATCGACGCGATAAAAGCAAACACATGCGGAAATGTGTTCCTAGAATGTGATTCTAATTGTTTTCTTAAGCCCGTTTCGCTCAAACATACTACGTATGATGTATTTATGGATATTAAGTCACACTCTCTAGAAATTATTTTGTTGTTAAAAGAAAGTTCACGCAGCTGAATGTATGCTTCGATTTATTTGTTGAATTTTATCGTGATTAATTAATTTATATTTGATGCAGTTATGATCAGATATAATTTTAACCGTTAAACAAATAATAAAAATAACATACATATAACGAATTTTGTTTATAGAACTAATATTTATTCTTATTTTATTCTTTTTAAAACGTATTTTTTTAATATTAAATTTTAAGGTTGGAACATCTGTTTGCAACAATCTAAAATCGAATAAATTATCGAGTCAAGTTGATTCAACTTAATTTAAATCGCGAAGCAATAAATAATCTTACAGATTAAATCTTCAGATGAAAGAGGAGGAAATTTTAAGCACCAATAAAGATAGATTCAAATATGAATGAGATAGAAGTAAAAGATATTACCCTCTGATATTTACAGAACGATATATACACACATACACACACACACACACACACACACACACACACACACACACACACACACACACATAATCTTTCATCAATATTTCTCATGTATCTTAAACTTGGTGGATTAATAAGTACGCGCCGGTTCAACGGTTTCGCTTCTGAATAATAAAACACACAATTGTACTTAGACGACATTTAAATGATCTCGATTAAGGGAAATTATCGATGACGTGTATTACGCGTGCTAATTCCACATTTTAAACGTGCGTGAGACCAGGCACACGCGTGTCACGCGTGTACAACTCGACCTTGCTATCCCTTTGCGATCCTTTGCCAACAGCGAGCGCCGGTGTATCTAGCACAGACTGCAATATTACGTATATATCACCGTTGTTAAATTTTTTATACATATACGTTTATCCCAGACTCGATAAGCCTAAACGTCTGCAATGCGGCATTTTGTCGCGATCCGCAAACACGTAAGTGTGTCAGCGCTTCAACCGCCGTCGTACGACGTGCGAGAGGAGCGAGGGATTAAAAAAGAGAAGGATGAATTTTCGAGTGAATGCAAATGGTTTTTCTAATTTTCCGGTTGCAGAACAGAATAAATGTATGAGAATTCAATCCCGGAAAATGTCTCTTTTCTTTATGAATGAGCAATTTTTCCTGCTGAATAAGAGTGAAACGATAAAACTCGCGCACACTATTAAAATGCACGCAATGCGGAAGAAATTGTGTCGAGATATGCCTCTACGCATCACTGAGAGAACGTGATAAACTTTAAAGCAGGAGAAGCCTTTGTTCAAAGTTGAAAGAGAGATTCGCGCGTCGATATTATCTCTGGTCCGTCATAATTTTCATATTTTTGTCTGTACAGGAATTATAACTGGAGGCATTGTGAAGCGTGTAATCGGTAGATAGAGTGTATCTGTTATTGAGAAGAATTTCCATTTGGAAAGAATCCGATACCCGATAGAACGCAAGAACTGGTGTTTTTATTCGGAAGCTGTTTGCGCAGCGCGAGATGAAAATCTGAATCCTCTCGTCCGCGACTCGTAATATCGGAATCATTGGAACGCACCTGGCGTCGGTTGGCTTGTACGTAACGTCGTATTTCTCGACCTGCTCGACCTGGCTGGTGCTCCAAGACACGCGCACAGACGTCGGGTTCAGGAACATCACCGTTATGTTTTCCGGGACGCCGGGAATGCCTGTCACCGAGCCTGCGAACAATCAATATGGAGAGTGCCTGTCGTTATATTGATAATATCCGCTTGTCGAGATGCGAATTGTATTAAAAATATCATCGTTCTCTTCGCCTCTTCGATTAGACGAGCTCTAAAATTCTTTCTTAGAAAACATTCCGTTCGACCGTATTTTCTTTTTATCAGGTTTTTAATAGCAAATATTTGTATTTAGAATTATCTACGTTAAAATTTTTTAAAGGCCGAATTAGAATTTTCAATTTTTTGTGGAATTTATATTAATAAAGTTTGCAAAAGTAGATAATGCAAATTCTATTCTGGATTAAAAATGTTGTTGTAGGTAGCTATAAAAATATTTATTAAGAACTTAATGCTGGGAGAGACACTGTTCTTGTTTCTCTTATAAAAGGTTTTCTTAAATACCTTCTGTTATTTATATGCACGTAATTCTGCATTTACCTACAAATCCAGCTCCTTGAAGGATTAGTATTGTGGCCCAAAGGACCATGCCGCCAGGATGGCGGGCCGGATATGGACCGCGTATCCTTCCGCACACGTGTCCGTCTCCACTTCTGCTTCTTATCGTAGCCGTGCGTCTTTACGGTGCAAAAGCGAGACACCAGTTGTCTGCGTATACAATAAATTTCAAATTTAATTCACGATTTAATTACTTCACGAGGAAATCTGCGTCGAAGAATCTCTAGCCATGCGAAAAAGCGTCATCCGACCATTGGTTCGAAATTAAATGAAAATCTCTTGGGAATTAAGTGAAAATTCAAAGATGCATAACTGCAATTATTCAATGTTCCGTGATTACGACTCGATTTATATTTCTACGTAAAATTGCAAAGGTCAGCGCAAAGTCCCGGAAAGTTTTTCAAAAGCGCAGAGTAAAGTTTATTACCTGTACATGCAGCGTTTCTAGTCTTTTATTCTCTTTTGCCGTGCTGCATCCTCCATCTCGGGCTACGTCATAACAATGATAATAGGAGATCACCATTTCACGGTGCATTATTTAGCCGTGCGTTTCATTTGTCGACGATATTCCCGATGATCCGTTCGCGAACTCATCCTATATTACAGCTGCAATAATGCAAATAATACAAACCGTTAATTTGCAAATCAATGAAATCATTACTTTTAGAACCGCTAGAATAATCAGCGATAATATCGTATGCTTAAAACAAAAGAATTTAATTTGAATTATTTTAAAAATTCCATGAAACATCTCAGCTACATCAAATTAATATAATCATAAATTTCGTCATTCGTTTCTTAAGAGATCATTAAAATTCATATCGCGTGTGTTTTTTCAAAAATTCAGACGGTGACGCGCGGCTCCGTAAAAAAAAAATAGCACAATTGTTCCTCGATCACAATTAATCGTTTTCCCGTTCTGAAAACATGGCGATTAAGATGTTACTCGCGGCTTCGCGCACTCGCGAGGGTCGCGCACTCGGGGATGTGATGGAGGGACGCACATCTCGCTTCACGTGTCCGATAAGAATCGCGCGATAAGGGGACCGGATGATTAAATGTCCTAGCAATTTGCACGAGGAGGCGAGGAGGCGCCGGCTGACCTTTCCTTCCTGATTGCGTGGCCGCGGTATACCGCGGCTGCGGTGCCGGGTGCCGTGCCAACGAAAATACAACAGACAAAGCACCCCCCCCTCCCCCCGACGAGTGCCCGCTCGACGAGCCGCGAGCTTGCGAGCAACAAATGGAGCTTGCGGTTTACATTGGGCCGTCTTTATACGCCGGCGGCCTCCTACGAGCGCGTTCTGCAGCGGCCTCGCGCGTTTGCAATGGCGTATAGCCGTGGGAGAGGAGTTTGTTTAAGTTGGACGTGGGAGTCTCCGTCACCCCCCCTCCCTACCCCAACGAGAAATTCTCAAAGAAAGCAAAACGTGTCGGCGATATAAGAAGATTTTGCACGATAAACATGACCCGGAATCTTTTCGGAACGTGCAGAAATTCTCCTGAGATCAGTGGCGGTGTTAGATTATTAATAAATAATTTCAAAAGTGCTAGTTGTTTAAGTAAGATGTTAATCAGATTTTGAAAATTGAAAGCTGCAGAGACTATGAGATGATTAAAAATTAGAGATACGTATGTAATGATTTTTCATGATCCTGTATTTATGCGTACATAAGCTACTGTTTATATTCGTGATGTTTTAACAGTTAAAATCTGTTATTTATGTAAAGGCGAAAGAGAATCGATAAGAGTCTCTGGTGATAAAAGTCTATTTAGCAAAGTTTATATTGTCATGATCTGATAACATGGCTTAGTGTATTTATATCAAGTATGAATGTAATAGAATATAATGTAATAGAGAATTTTTTGATAATAAAAATTTGACTTACTTGATACGCGTCGTATATATTCTAGTATTAGAGCTAGCCTTCCGTTTTGTAATTTCAATCATTACGTTACAACGTTTTATAATTACGTGGTCTTTATTTACACACGTTCACACCTCAATTATTCACTCTGCGATTTTTAATTTTTCCGATATTCAGGCCCACCTACGCGCACGCCACTGAATGCAACGACTTACACGTTGTGAAAAATATTTTCATCGGACGGAGAATGGTCGGTGTTTCTCTTTCAAGTCTTTTACGAGCATTCGAGCATTTTGCCCTGCCTGATAGAGCAAAGCTTCGCGATATAGAAAAGAAAATCGTTATTCTGTGCGACCGCAACGTTATTACCAGCCAAGCAACGCAGACGTTTAACTCGCGTTTAATCGAATGTGATTAATATTTAAAAAAAATAATAGAATTTTAAAAAATTCGACTAAGCGGCATTGTTAAATTCTCGAAAAACCGCCGTCAAAATGTCAGCTCCATTAGTTCAATCGTTTCCGGCAGAAATATACTGCGCGTAATTGCCCCCCTGTGTATGATTTACGTACAATGTGACGTCGAACTGGACGATAATATCTTTTTATATGTCACTAGAATAATAATGGGAAAAACTAGGTCAGCTGCAAATCTTCATGTCTCATGATCATAAAGAGAAGAAAAGAAAATGCACATATGTAGATAACCGAAACGTCATTATAAAGAAACGAAATAAACATTAAAAAAAAAACCAAGGAAATATCATAAGCGGAATATATTTAATATTTTTAACAATAGTCGATACTTTTATCGTTTTAATAACATTTATTTTAATTATATTGTTTATTTTATTTATATGCTTCGACAGAATTGAATGAACGTTGACGCAATTAATGATTTTTAGTAAGCAATCAAATGTATTTAAATGAAATGTATTTAAAGCGAAGCAGAA